TAGGTATCAAAGCAAATATGGGGCTGATAAGTGTATAACACCAACATAAACATAAACCTTCTGGAGATTTTGTTCTGTTTTGGCTTCTTGGCTGTAGCTACAGAAAACATGAATATGTTTGTCTACCCCATAGAACATAACAGAGTCATACCTTATTTTATGAAGAGGCATATGACCATCACTCAGTTTTAATAAGCAGTAAGGAGAAATCAAATGGCCTCAGGTTCCTTTGAACAGTAATGTTTTCTTCAGCAAAGCATACATGCAGATGCAGTGGATGTTCTGGAGCTGCGGCCTCCTTGGCCCTTTTGGGGTGCTTCCTGTTTGAGTGGGTAGTGTGTTATCAGATGGTTCCGCCACTACCCAGACCACCACCACTGCCAACCTGTACGTCACTCTCACGTGGGGGAGCCCTCCGTTTTGTGGCCCTGGGTAACAGGCACCTCAGGAAATATTTTCTCACAGGCAGAAGCTCTCCATAGCAGAGTCTTCCCTCCTCACTGGCCCCCACCCCCAGCAGAGAGATCCAGGGTGCCCTTTGAAAAGTGCTTTGCGACTTGCCAAAGAAATACCACAGGAAACCTTTCTGTTTTGATCTTGAGATACATGGTAGGAAGGTGGTTGCCCAACCCCATAGAGATGGCTTCTACATTTCTTGTTCCTAGCTCCAGAGGTGCAGTATGGTCATTGTTGGTGGAGAAAAGCTGTGATTTCTAGTGGAATGCACCCACACCGCAGCCAGATTGCCTTCGAGCTCACTAAGTTAGGGATCCTTGCTGCCCAAGAACATCCCTCTAACTCTGCTCCCTGGTCCACCACTGCTGTGTGCTTCCATCCCCTCCAGCCATAGACTACACTGATCAGCCCTATCAGAGGCTTCTGTGGCAGGAAGAACACAGCTTCCTCTCCCAGTATGCCATTTGGATTTGTTTCCTGAAGTTCTATCAGAATTTCAGAAACCTTTATAGATTAGTACTTAACATTTACAAAATTGTTATCAAGATATATTTTATATAAAATAAACCATCTTTGCTTTTTTTTTAAATTTTCTTTTTGCTCTCCTTGTGTTTAAGTGGTGCTTTGCTGCTTTTCTTTAGTCCAAGCTGGCTTGCAGTCTTCTTATTTGTGCTTCTCATGTAGCTGGGATGACAGGCATTTGCCACTGTATCTGCTTTATGTTGGTTAAAATGGGAGTCTCTCTGTAGCCCTAACTACTCAGATCTGAGGCTGAGATCTGAGGATGACAGTTTTGGAGCCAGCCTGGACAGCCATGAGACTCTTCTAATTAGTCACTAAAAAAAAAAAAAATCTAGAAGTGGAGCTGGGACTCAAGTGGGAAAACTTTAGCAAAAAGATCCTGAGTTTAAGCCCTAGGACCATACAGGAAAAAAAAAAAAGAAGAAGAAGAAGTATCTTGCCTCCAGTCCTAGCTAACTCAGAAGGCCAAGATCTGAGACTCATAGTTTGAAACCAGCCCAGGCAGAAAGTCCATGGAGGATCTTATTGCCAGTTACCCAACAAAAAGCCAGAAGTGAAACTATGGCTTGAGTGGCAGATCACCAGTGAACAAACTACCAGTTCTCTTCCTGCAGCCTGTTGAACTTCAATCTCCCGTGTGTGTGTGTGTGTGTGTGTGTGTACACACTGTGATTCTGTTGTGATTCTGTTGCTCAAATTTGAGAACCACTGAGTTATGGTGTATACACTTGGTTTACCCTTTCATTATTACATTGTATTTACATGTACAGTAAAATTCTATTCTAAATTGCTGTATTTGGTTACAATCAGATTGATACTGAAAAGACAAAGTTACAAGGTCATTATTCGGAGTCTTTGAACTGAACTGTGCACCTTTAACTTAAAAAATAATACTAGAAAGGAATGAGAAGGGATAAATGAAGAATATATCCTAACTTGGAAAAGAATAAGAAAGGTGACATGTGTTTAAAAAGATTTAGGTAAATGGGACTGCCAGGATTGTTGTCTAGTTGATGATTGATTTTGCTTTATTAAGATTCTCCTGTTTATTTAATATTTGATCATTTTATATGTGGATTGCCTTTAGGACTATGGAATAAATACTTCAGAGATAAGTTTATAGAATGAATAGTAGAAAAAAAGTGGCCCAAATTGGGAATTCCTAACTCATTGCATTTATCCAGCACCAGATACTTTGAGCCCTGATACCAGTGGGGAATTAAATCAGGCCCTTGGATTTAAAGGGGATTATATTCAAATTGGAGACCTAAAACTTCAGCAAAGCTATGATCACAAGGGCCCCCAGAGAGGCTGATTTTCTACCAAACCCATTAAATATCTTCAGATTCCACCTGGAAAATGCCTTCCTAAAAAAAAGAGCAATGAATTAATTGTTAATTCTTTGGATCTTCTGATTTAAAAACTGCAACTAGAATAGCAGACTTAATTCCTTATGAGGAGTAGTCAGAAAAGGAAGTGACAGTAACGTGGTCTAGCATAAGAGATTATGAACAATCAGCCCAGTGGTTAGCAAAACTAGATTGGGAGAAGAAAGGAATAAGAACACTTGAACAGTGTGGAGGAAGCCAAAGAGGGAATTGAAGAGGGAAGGATATTTTAAAATGGAGGAGGAGGTGGGAAGGGTAGGGGGAAGGAAGGGAAGGAGAAAAAAAAAGGAACCTAGTTAGGTCTTAGTCCAGCTATAGATCTAATGAGTGTGACATTATGGCTGACATAGAAAGATGTTCTCATATTCTTCAGTGTCCTACTCTTGGAAGGTAGAGCTTGATCCTCTCTCCTAATGGGTAGAATGTGGCAAAAGTGGCGGGTAACTTATATAGCATTATGGGCCTCTCTGCTCCCTCTCCAGTCACTCAACCTGAGACAAGCCAGTCAGCATGTTGTACAGCACAAACGGACCTCACGTGGTTCTGGTGAGCATCCCATCCATGACTGCAGCCTCCACCAGTGTCCTCACTGCACACTTCCAAAATATGTTATCCCCAAGCAAGTTTTTATGCTGCCAGGACCCTGCTGCTCATGGAAGGGGTGTTTATGGTATGGCCACAAGGAGAAAAGTTTATACCATGAAACTGTAATGAAAAGCATAAACATAAAAACTGTGTAATGAAAATCATAAATGAATTTGGTGTTTTAGACCCCCAAAATGGCTAAATGTTCAAAAGTTCAAAACATCCAAAATCTAAAACACATCTGGTCCCAAGCAGATGTTGGATATGGGACATAGCCACCGCCTATAATAGGTAAAGGAGTATACTAGTACAGATTGCTCATTTTGAGATTGCTTATGAAAAGTCTACTTGGTCAGAGTTAAGAATACTTCCAAACTTTCCACAGTTCTGCTTAGCATATGTTGGTCCTATGCCCTTAATTTTAAAGTTTCTGCTCATGAGCCTGTGGAATTAAAAAATTAGCTTCTGCATAGTTTTACTACTGTGGCATGCATGTGTGTGCACACACACACACCACACGCACGCATGCGGGCACACACACACACTCAAGATGGTCAATTAAGAAACTCAAAAGCAAATTTCTGTACTCAAAATTATCAGCTGATCATTGGACTTAATTAACATCAGGTGTAGCATACATTTACTACTTATTGCTCCTCACCTTCCCTGAAAATGAGGCTGCTTTGTCTGTGTGCTGATTAGAGTATCAAATTAGCACAGTAAGCAAAGTTGAGATCACCTCCATTATTTTTTCTCTTGGTCGTATTGGGCCTTGTGCTTGCTAGACCCATGACCTACCACATGATGCATGCTCTCAATTATTTTTGCTGTATTTTTAAGATAGGGTCTGCCATTTTTTGCCTGGAGCTGGCTGGCCTCAGATATGTGATCCTTCATGCTTCCTGCACAGCTAGAAGGTCATTCACTACCATGCCTGTCCTCTATCTTTTAAAGACTCTGATTCTAGCATAGAAATTAATATTATTAACAACAGGAGCCTGATCCCTGAAGCCAGGGAGAAAGAAGGTTGGGTATTTCGGGTTGTGACTTGCACACAGTTGTACAGTTGGCCTTGGTGAGTCTCCTGAGTCGCTAGGATCGGTGACTGTTGTTCACAGTGACCATGGTGTTTGGTGGTGAACCTGCTGAGAAGTAACTGCTTCATTTGCAGTGTGTTTTACTTTCAAAACTACATGAATGACAACTAACTTGAAAGATCCCACTTGTATCCATCTTGTAGTTTGATCCTACCAAAAGAGAGATAGGTTCAGAATTGTGCAGCCCCTCAATCACTTAAGAGTGTGGTTTGGGGCTGTTCAGAGGACAGTGGCCCTTGGTGGAATCCTTAGTTTTCCTTCAGTTTAGGTTACCCATAGTCAGCCACAGTCTAAACATATTCAATGGAAAACTTCAGAAATAAACAGTCCTAAGTCCTAAATCACAAACTGCTCTGTATTGCATGGTGAAATCTTACACTATCCCCCTCTGTGTCCTGCTGGATACGAGTCACCCTTTGTCCAGTATATCTGTACAGTATATACTATCCACACAATAGTCACCATCTTGATTATCAGATCATCAAATTTGAATTTGAGTGTCAAATTCACAAAACCTTTATTTAATAATGCATCTACAGCAAAAGAGTTGTGAGGTAACACAGATCTGCCAAACACAACCTGTAAACTGCTAATGCAAGTCAAGAAGAGATGGAACATGTAGCTGCTGCTCCTTTCATGCAAACCACTTTGAATTGTTCCTAATTTATCAAAAGTAGTTTGGGAAGTGACAGTTTCGAGTTTCTTCACTATCCAGGTGAGGGCGGTTATTCGACTTTGTACTTGTCAAAAGATCAAAATGTACTTAGGACACTTAGAGCACAGGAATCTTGACCTGCCTTGGGCATCCTTGGCATTCTGGGTAATAACCGACAGTGGAGCTATGCTAGGTGGTGGTCTGGTTCCATGCCGCAGAGCTAGGCTGCTGACCCCAACAGAGTTAAGGCACTCTCTTGCCGGTGCTGGTTCTCACTCCCCTCTGCTTCCTCCCCAGCCCAGCGACTTCTCCGTGTCTCTCAAAGCATCAGGGAAGAACAAGCATTTCAAGGTGCAGCTCGTGGACAATGTCTACTGCATTGGGCAGCGGCGATTCCACAGCATGGACGAGCTGGTGGAGCACTATAAGAAGGCACCCATCTTCACCAGCGAGCATGGGGAGAAGCTCTACCTCGTCAGAGCCCTGCAGTGACAGTGGTGCAGTGACCTTGCCATGCCACACCAGCTCCGGGCCTCACCAGAGCCGCTGCCCACCTGGCTCTGCCACCCATTGAGGGTCTGCAGCATCCAGGGTCCAGCCTGGATCAGCCTCACAGCCTGATCTTTCTATTCAGCTCGGTTTGTTTCACATCTGCCACCCCAGGCCCTTACAGCCTCGTGCACGCCCACTGAGAGTGGCAGGTAGAGGGGCAGGTGAGCCTGTTCACTTTCTTTTTAGTTGGAAACAACAGTTGGTCAGTGATCCTCTCAAATTGCTCATGTCGTAGAATCCCCAGTAAAAGGCCAGGGGTGCAGTTGGAAACGTGAGGCCATACGTAGCTTAGCAATGGAGTGAACCTCAACCCCTCAGAAAGCCCATCAGAGGGCTGAGGCTCCCCTGTGTCCACACAACAGGTTCCGGCTGGCCAGCAGCCCCCAGTACCAGGCCTGTGCCCCCAGTTGGTTCCAGACCCTACCGGGAATTGGTGCATTTGCAGAGCAATATTGGAACCACAGGGAGATGGCAGTAAGGAGACTGTCCAGTGCCTTTGAGGCTGTGATTGCAATAATGAAGACTTTCATGGGAGTGCAACAGAGAGCCCTGATGCAGAGAGACAGATGTTTTGGTGATTTCGACCATGTGCCATCCATATAGTGCTTTTTTCCTCTTGCCCTTTGGCTTGTTTGAATTTCACAATTATGTATTTAATTCTCAAAGTAATAGGTATCTGTAGCCTTTTGTTGACACTAATAACAGATGATTAAGGAAAACAGCTGATCTTTGGGGAAGGGGAGCTACCAATACTTTATATACCTACACTATATATATATATATAATATATGTATATTATATATATATTATTTGCTTTACAGGGAAATTTTTCAGGGTTTACAAAAGAATATGTGATTGGTAGTAAGAGACACAGAATGTTTATGAAAATACTGCATTTTCTTTTTTCTTTACATTTGAACTTCTTTATAGTTTGAATATAGAGTCTTGAGATGGCACATTCCTACAATTGAAGAAGGGGGTCTTGAGATCCTCTAAACTTGCATACTCAAGATTTTTGGATATTGTAATAAAAAAAAGTATTATGACAACTATGTGTGTGTCTCTGTATGTGTGTGTGTGTGTGTAAGAAACCTCACCGGTGACTGGCTATGGGTAAGAGTGGCTTCTGTAATCTCTGAACATTGACCTGAGCACCATAATTTTACAAGTACTTGGAACATAGGGGGTTTTTTTGTTGGTTTTTGTATGTGTGTGTTTTAGCCAGGCTTGGTGGTACCTGCCTGTAATCACAATACTTATTTACAGTTGTCACTGTGCATCAACCTCCCCTGGGAAACCCAGGGAATTGCTATGTGTAATATAACTAAGCCCTTCACAAGTGACTTACAGGCAACTGCTATTAAAAGTGTTTTGACGTTACAGGGGTTCCCACTGAATCAACAAACCATTTATATGCCGAAACAATTTGAGTTTAGGCTTCTATGTGCTAAGTTGTTGGTAAATTTTTCCTCCTTGGATAAGGTTTGAACTCAGGGTTTCACAAGTTTACTTAGTTGGTGCTCTGCCACCTGAGCCACACTTCATGCCCTGCTTTTTGCTGATTAGAGATGTGTCTCACAACTTTTCTCCCCTGGGCTGCCTTTTAACTGAGATCCTCTGGATCTCAGCCTCAGGAGTAGCTAAAATTACAGGCATGAGCTACCAGCATCCAGCACATAATCTACTATTCAACTATGTCTTGTAAGGTGAATTATCCCAGAAGCCGTATTTTGGAAAATGGAACATTGGAGTCTTTATTACATAGCAGGTTGCAGGCAGCCAGTTGTTACAAAGGCCTGCAGCCCCCAAATACACATAACACAGCTAAGAAACAGGCCAGAGAGGGAAGAAAGAACAAAACCATACCAACAAACCAATCCAGCTCTGATGGAAAGTTGAATTGGGATGCAGTGAAGACCAGAGACAAGCCAGAAGACAGGATACAGGACATGATCACAGAAACACGTGGCATGGCATAATGGGGTCTGTACTGGTCTGGGCCTAAGTAGGGCCAGCACAGGGGACAGGTCCACAGGAAATTCCCAATCCCAGGCACTGGACTGACAGATTCAGTAACCTATCAGCCAAGTGCCTGCCCCTGCCTCCAGGGATCTGGGCACGCCCATCACCTGGGAGGCCAAGGCATTTCCTTCCCCAACATGAAGATGCCAGACCCTACCACCCACCATGTGGCCAATATGGTGCCAGCCAGACCTGACCACCTTACTTCAGTCTCTGCTTTTCAATGTAAAAATGCCAAAAAATTTAAGCCCAGAGTTCAAAACTGATTTATGGGATAGTTGGAAAACATTATAAGGTAGTCATGTGTCACTTAATGAAAGTTACACACTTCAAGAATTGTCAGATAGTTAAATTGTGTGGACATCATAGTGTATGTCCACAAGCAACTGGATGTTAGGAACTTACACAGCCATGCTTGAATTTCTATCCATATTTTATATGGATATTACATGAGATATATATATATATATATAATAGTATGCATATTTATGTTGTATAATTATACAATATACAAAAATAATTATACCTTATGCATACTATATATATACATTTTATATGTGTCAAAATATAAGATGTCACATAACATTTAAAAATAGCCATGTTAGTCTTTCCCCTAGATTTATTTCCTGTCAGTATGCTGTAATGTAATGTAACTCATCTGGGTCTGTCTGTCTTAACTGCAATTCAGGTTACCAGTGACAGAAACAGGCCACTAGCTTTGAATTTTGTTTTTTTTTTAAAAAAAAGCATTCACAAGGTAGGCAAGCCTTGTGGAGATGGGGGGAGGGGGCCTTACTTCCCGCCCCACCTGCCTAGATTGTGTGTGGACTAATTGATGGGCTTTGTTAATGTGGATCAAGCTGGATCAACTGTTACTGTTATGGCCCACATGCAGAGGAGTTTGTTGTCAACTAAAAACTAGTAACTAAAAGTACATGGGTGTAGAAAGTTTACTTAGGAAATAAGAGCTGATAGTTTGATATAGAATGTTTATAGAATATTTGAATGTTCCTCAAAAGCTGTGTGTTTGAAGCTTTGTCCATGGCACTGTTGGGAGTGGTAGGATCTGGAAGTGAGATCTTAGGAGAAGTTTAGTCTTAGGGGTGTGCTCTTGAAGGGAATATTGGGACCCTCACCTCTATGCTTTCCAGCTACTTAACAGTCCTCTTCTGCCACATCCCCCCCACCCCTAATGTTTTGCCTCCCCTCAGGCCAAAGCACCCGTGAACTGGAACCTCTGACACCAGGAGCCAAAGCAAACCTTCCTTGTAGGTTGATTTTCACACAGGTATTTTGACAAAGTGGCAATGCTAACGGGTGATTTGCTCAGGTCTCTCCCCAGTTTTATTAATGTTATTTCAATGTTAACATATTGAGGAGTGCTAGCTGCTATCCTATAATGTGGCATCTGTACACTGGAGGACCTGCCCAGAGTCACACAAAGGAAGTACTAGCCCTGTGGTTTCAATTAAAGGACCTAGCTTTTCTTGATATGGTTGCTCATGAATAAAATAGGGGTGCTAGCCATATGACTGATGTTAAGGTCCAATGTCACCTGTCAGTAACTAGGCTCTCTTGGCCTGAAGCTGCAGTAGCCTCTGGTTCCTAGGTACCAGAGGAGTTGCTTCTCATAGAAGCAGAACCCGCCTACATTCTAGTCCACAGTTGGCCCAAGGCCAAGTCAGTAGACCCTGTGGGATTGACCTCCAGCAAGTCCCAAAACTGCCTCATGGCCTCCAAATCCCTGGCACCAAGCTGCATATTTTATAGCTACTTAAAGATGGTATCACAGTTGTTAGGCATTATTATACATTTAGGTGAGGTGAACTGTTACATACTTAATAAGTAATATGTTTAGAATCTTTGTTCAGCTTATTAAATAAGCTTAATGAAAATGAAAAAAGGTTAATGTACTAAATTGTTACCTATCTAAAGCTGATAATGAGTAATTTGATATTCTAACTTACATCTGCTGATGGTACTATCAAGACTTTCTCTCTAGTCACACATGGATGCCAGCAGAGTCTATTTCTACAGGGGCTAAGGAGTTAGCATAAAAGCAGACCATGATACAAAAAGGAAAGCATAACATCCATTCATCGGAGTCATGGAGCCAATTAAAACATTTGCCCAACCAAAGTAGGTGTCCAAATAGCATCCAAACATCCAGTCAGATCACTGGTTGTTACAGGTGTTGGAGTCAAGAGATCCTGTCTTTGCTAAAGTGCTTTTGAAATGTACCCTTGGGCAAGGTCCCACCCTACTCTTAACTGTGGTGTGCCCTTTAGGTATCCCTGATACAAAGTCTTTAGGAATTATTATAAAACAACAGTCTATATTGCCCTTGGTGGGGGAAAGATATGTATTTGGCTAGATATAATACATGCATGTATCCAGTTTTTTCTTGGAAAATTTTACATTGCATTCTGTCATTGTATGTAGGATTCAGTATAAACATGAACTCATTATGTCCATAACTGCATGTAGAGCCACAAACTTCAGTTTCTGCATAGTCTCAAACCCATATACAACTTTATGTTAAAAAGTATATTCAGAGGCTGGGAAGGTGGCTCAGTGGTAGAGTGCTTGCCTTCCATTCATGAGACCCTGGGTTCCATTCCTCAGCACGACATAAGCAGAAAAAAGCCAGAAGTGGTGCTGTGGCTTGAGCTAAAGAACTGAGGTACAGTGCCCAGGCCCAGAGTTCAGGCCCCATGACCAATTAAAAAAAAATAGTACACTCAAACAACTGCACAAGAGGCTAAGATCTGAGGATCATGATTCAAAGCCAGCCCAGGACAAACACAAAGGACAAACACAAGATTCATCTCCAATTAACTAGCGAAAACCCAGAAGTAGAGGTGTGATTCAAGTGATAGAGTGCCAGCCTTGAGCAAAAAAGCCAAGAATAAAAGACCTATTAATCTCAGTACCAATACATACAAAAAGTACATTGAAGTCCAGTGCCAGTGGCTCATGCCTGTAATCCTACCTACTCATGAGGTAGGATCTGAAGATTGTGGTTTGAAGCCAGCCCAGGCAGGAAAGTCCCTGAGACACTCTCATCTCTACAAAAAAGGGGTTTGTGTGGCTTAAGTAGTAGAGTGCTTGCCCTGAGCTAAAGAAGTTCAGGGACAGAGCCCAGGTCCAGAATTCAAGCCCCAGGACCAGCAAAACAAACACTGTAATACTGCTTTAGAAGATCTGTGTAAAGTTTACAATAGAAAAACAAATAAAAACATGGAACTGGGAATTCTAAAAAAAAATTGTTAATGCTAGAAAATAATAGTAATATGTCTACTTCCCTTGATGTGACTTTGAAAGATTTGATCCATTAGGATCAGGCAACTCTGCCCCACTGGAATTAATGTGCCTGGCACTTTCAGGCATATATCTAAATAAGCCTTAAGGTTTAGATGCCAGGCTCAGAGTGTCTGATCATGGGCTGTAGTGCTATATAAATGAGTAAATGGGTATCTCTGCCCCTGGGAAACTTGCATTTTTTAAGAGTAGTGGCTGTCAGTACACAGGAAACATTTGTGCCAATTTGGGATTGATGAAGGAATTGTCAAAGTAAGCAAAGTTTTGACAGGAAATGAGGAGTTTGCCTAATTTAATCATAGTGATTGAAAGTAGAAAGGCTTCTTTAGTGAGCTCACATGTAAGTAGAAACTTAGAGGGGAGAAGGGGCCAGTTATTACCAGAGTAGCATGAAACAGGCATATGATCTGCTGAGGCTCTCAAGAAGGTGGGGAAGAACTTCAGATGTGTGGAATGAGGTTGGATGGTTTGAAGCCTGAGAAGAAATCAGTTGCAAGGAAAAAAATCCAGTTTGATAAATCCAAGATGCAAAAACATCAAAGAGATTTGTCAAATACAGTTAATAAGGTAAGAATTAGTGCTCAGGGAATCTAACTCTTAGAGATTAGCTAAGAGGACTAAGACACGAATAGCCATTGTTGTGCCAAAATTGCTATCCAGGGGAAAGTTGAAAGAGCTAGGCAGGCACTGGTACCTCACACCTGTAATCCTATTACCCAGGTGTTAGGTAAATTAAATTGGTAGCCGAGGAAAGAAAGCAGCACGAG